GGGTGGTGGGTGGAGTAGAGTGGTGGGTGGGTGGAAGTAGTGAAGGTGGTGGGTGGAGTAGTGAAGGTGGTGGGTGGAGTAGTGAAGGTGATGGGTGGAGTAGTGAAGGTGGTGGGTGGAGTAGTGAAGGTGGTGGGTGGGGTAGGATGGTGGTGGGTGGAGTAGTGAAGGTGGTGGGTGGAGTAGAGATGGTGGGGGTGGAGTAGTGAAGGTGGTGGGTGGAGTAGTGAAGGTGGTGGGTGGTAGTGAAGGTGGTGGGTGGAGTAGTGAAGGTGGTGGGTGGGGTAGGAGGTGGTGGGTGGAGTAGTAAAGGTGGTGGGTGGATTAGTGAAGGTGGAGGGTGGGGGTAGTGAAGGTGGTGGGTGGAGTAGTGAAGGTGGTGGGGGGAGTAGTGAAGGTGGTGGGTGGAAGTAGTGAAGGTGGTGGGGGGAAAGTAGTGAAGGTGGTGGGTGGAGTAGTGAGGGGGTGGGTGGAGTAGGAAGGTGTGGGTGGAGTAGTAAAGGGTGGTGGGTGGAGTAGTGAAGGTGGGGGGGTGGAGTAGTGAATTTGGTGGGTGGGAGTTGAAGGGGGTGGTGAGTAGTGAAGGGGTGGGTGGAGTAGTGAAGTGGGGGGTTTGGAGTAGTGAGTGGTGGGGGTAGTAAAGGGTGGTGGGTGGAGTAGTGAGGTGGGGTGGAGTAGTGAAGGTGGTGGGTGGAGTAGTGAAGGTGGTGGGTTGGAGTAGTGAAGGTGGGGGTGGGTAGTAAAGGTTTGGTGGGTGGGGTAGAGATGGTGTGGGGTTGGAGTAGTGAAGGTGGTGGGTGGAGTAGAGATGGTGGTGGGTGGAGTAGTAAAGGGTTTGGTGGGGGTGATAGTGAAGGTGGTGGGTGGAGTAGTGAAGGTGGTGGGTGGGAGTAGTGAAGGTGGTGGGTGGAGTAGTAAAGGTGGTGGGTGGTGTGGGTGGTGGGTGGAGTAGTGAAGGTGGTGGGTGGAGTAGTGAATTTGGTGGGTGGAGTAGTGAAGGTGGTGGGTGGAGTAGTGAAGGTGGTGGGTGGAAGTAGTGAAGGTGGTGGGGGGGAGTGTGAGGTGGTGGGTGGGTAGTTAAAGGGTTTGGTGGGGGTTTTGTGAGGTGGTGGGTGAGTAGTGAAGGTGGTGGGGTGGATTTAGTGAAGGTGGTGGGTGGAGTGTGAAGGTGGTGGGTGGAGTAGTGAATTTGGTGGGTGGGAGTGAAGGTGGGGGTTTGGTAGTAAAGGTGGTGGGTGGAGTGGTGAAGGTGGTGGGTGGAGTAGTGAGGTGGTGGGTGGAGTAGTGAAGGGGGGTGGGTGGAGTAGTGAAGGTGGTGGGTGGATAGTGAAGGTGGTGGGTGGGGTAGAGTGGTGGTGGGTGGAGTAGTGGAGGGGTGGGTGGGGTAGGAGTGGTGGGGGGTTTTGGAGTAGTGAAGGTGGTGGGTGGAGTAGTGAAGGTGGTGGGTGGAGTAGTGAAGGTGGTGGGTGGAGTAGTGAAGGTGGTGGGTGGGGGTAGGGGTGGTGGGTGGAGTAGTGAAGGTGGGGGGGGAGTAGTGAAGGTGGTGGGTGGATTAGTGAAGGTGGTGGGTGGAGTAGTGAATTGGTGGGTGAGTAGTGAAGGTGGTGGGTGGGGTAGGAGGGGGGGTGGGGGTAAAAGGGGTGGTGGGTGGAGTAGTGAAGGTGGGGTGAGTAGTGAATTTGGGGGTGGAGTAGGAGGTGGTGGGTGGAGTAGTGAAGGTGTGGGTGGGGGTGAGGGGTGGGTGGAGTAGTGAGGGGGGGTGGAGTAGTGAGGTGATGGGTGGAGTAGTGAAGGTGGTGGGGGGGAGTAGTGAAGGGGGGGTGGGGTAGGATGGGGTGGGTTGAGTAGTGAAGGGGGTGGGTGGGGTAGAGATGGTGGTGGGTGGAGTGGGGAAGGTGGTGGGTGGTAGTAAAGGTGGTGGTGGAGTAGTGAGGTGGTGGGGGGAGTAGTGAAGGTGGTGGGTGGTAGTGAGGTGGTGGGTGGAGTAGTGAAGGTGGTGGGTGGGTTGGGTGATTGGTGGGTGGGTAGGGGGAGGTGGTGGGTGGAGTAGTGAAGGTGGGGGTGGAGTGTGAAGTGGGGGTGGAGTAGTGAGGTGGTGGGTGGAGTAGGGAAGGTGGTGGGTGGAGTAGTGAAGGTGGTGGGTGGAGTAGTGAAGGTGGTGGGTGGAAGTGTGAAGGTGGGGGGTGGATTTAGTGAAGGTGGTGGGTGGAGTAGTGAAGGTGGTGGGTGGAGTAGTGAATTTGGTGGGTGGAGTAGTGAAGGTGGTGGGTGGAGTAGTGAAGGTGGTGGGGGGAAATTTGGTGAAGGTGGTGGGTGGAGTAGTGAAGGTGGTGGGTGGAGTAGTGAAGGTGATGGGTGGAGTAGTGAAGGTGGTGGGTGGGGTTGTGAAGGTGGTGGGTGGGGTAGAGATGGTGGTGGGTGGGAGTAGTGAAGGTGGTGGGTGGGGTAGAGATGGTGGTGGGTGGAGTAGTGAAGGTGGTGGGTGGAGTAGTGAAGGTGGGGGGTGTGGAGTAGTAAAGGGGTGGGGGTGGGTGGAGTAGTGAAGGTGGTGGGTTGGAGTAGTGAAGGTGGTGGGTGGAGTAGTGAAGGGGGGTGGGTGGATTTAGTGAAGGTGGTGGGTGGAGTAGTGAAGGGGGTGGGTGGAGTAGTGAAGGTGGTGGGTGGAGTAGTGAATTTGGTGGGTGGAGTAGTGAAGGTGGTGGGTGGAGTAGTGAAGGTGGTGGGTGGGTAGTAAAGGTGGTGGGTGGGGGTAGTGAAGGGGGGTGGGTGGAGTGTGTTTTGGTGGGTGGAGTAGTGAAGGTGGTGGGTGGAGTAGTGAGGTGGTGGGTGGAGTAGTGGAAGGTGGTGGGTGGAGTAGTGAAGGTGGTGGGTGGAGTATTTGAAGGTGATGGGTGGAGTAGTGAAGGTGGTGGGTGGAGTAGTGAAGGGGGTTTGGGTGGGGTTTTAGAGATGGTGGTGGGTGGAGTAGTAAAGGTGGTGGGTGGGGTAGAGATGGTGGGGGGTTTGGAGTAGTAAAGGTGGTGGGTGGAGTAGTGAAGGTGGGGGGTGGAGTAGTGAAGGTGGTGGGTGGAGTAGTGAAGGTGGGGGGTTTGGAGTAGTGAAGGTGGTGGGTGGAGTAGTAAAGGTGGTGGGTGGGTAGTGAAGGTGGTGGGTGGAGTAGTGAAGGTGGTGGGTGGGAGTAGTGAAGGTGGTGGGTGGAGTAGTGAAGGTGGGGGTGGAGTAGTGAATTTGGTGGGTGGAGTAGTGAAGGTGGTGGGTGGGTAGTGAAGGTGGTGGGTGGAGTAGTGAAGGTGGTGGGTGGAGTAGTGAAGGTGGTGGGTGGAGTAGTGAAGGTGGTGGGTGGAGTAGTGGAAGGTGGTGGGTGGAGTAGTGAAGGTGGTGGGTGGAGTAGTGAAGGTGGGGGGTGGGTGGAGTAGTGAAGGTGATGGGTGGGAGGTAGTGAAGGTGGTGGGTGGAGTAGGAGGTGGTGGGGGGGGTTTAGAGATGGTGGTGGGTGGGAGTAGTGAAGGGGGGTGGGTGGAGTAGAGATGGTGGTGGGTGGGTAGTGAAGGTGGTGGGTGGAGTAGTGAAGGTGGTGGGTGGAGTAGTGAAGGTGGTGGGTGGAAGTAGTGAAGGTGGTGGGTGGAGTAGTGAAGGTGGTGGGTGGAGTAGTGAAGGTGGTGGGTGGAGTAGTGAGGTGGTGGGTGGAGTAGTGAAGGTGGTGGGTGGAGTAGTGAAGGTGGTGGGTGGGTAGTGAAGGTGGTGGGTGGAATAGTGAAGGGGTGGGTGGAGGTGGGTGGGGGGTAGTGAAGGTGGTGGGTGGAGTAGTAGGAGGTGGTGGGTGGGGAAAGTGAAGGTGGTGGGTGGGGTAGTGAAGGTGGTGGGTGGGGTAGTGAAGGTGGGGGGGTGGGGTAGTGAAGGTGGTGGGTGGAGTAGTGAAGGTGGTGGGTGGATTTAGTGAAGGTGGTGGGTGGAGTAGTGAAGGTGGTGGGTGGAGTAGTGAGGTGGTGGGTGGGGTGGTGAAGGTGGTGGGTGGATTTAGTGGAAGGTGGTGGGTGGAGTAGTGAAGGTGGTGGGTGGGGTAGTGAAGGTGGTGGGTGGAGTAGTGAAGGTGGTGGGTGGAGTAATGAAGGTGGTGGGTGGAGTAGTGAAGGTGGTGGGTGGAGTAGTGAAGGTGGTGGGTGGAGTAGTGAAGGTGGTGGGTGGAGTAGTGAAGGTGGTGGGTGGAGTAGTGAAGGTGGTGGGTGGGGTATACAATGTTTCTTATTTATAAATACATTTTTCTTATTTATAATCTCGTAACAAAAAATTGGGGTGTTTTTTTTGGAGCTGGAACTGATTAATGGCTTTTCAGTTAATTTCAGTGAGGAAAATTGATTTAGTATACAGTGGTACCCCGAGTTTCAGCCATAATTTGTTCCAGAAGGCTGTTCGAGTGCTGTTACCAAACGAATTTGTTCCCCTAAGGGATAATGTAAATTAGATTAGTCCATTTCAGACCCCCCAACAGTACACTTAGAAAAGCACTTGCAATAATACACTTACATTATTGTTCGAGTTGGGAGCTGTACAAAACTCGGGGTACCACTGTATGAGCAAATTGAGTTACAAGATTGGTCACTGAACGAATTAAACTTGTAAGTCAAGGTACCACTGTATTTTTGTTTTTTTATTATTTACATACCGGTCATCTCCCACAGAGGTATGGTGACCCAAAAAAGAATAAACACTTTCACCATCACTCACACTATCACTGTATTGCCAGAGGTGTACTGATATCCCTCTAAACTGCACATACCGTCACCCATCCTTCATAGTGCAGACACTGTACTTCCCACCAACAGGACTCAAGTCCAGCTAACCAATTTCCCTGAATCCCTTCATAAATATTATTATTATTATTATTATTATTATTATTATTATTATTATTATTATTATTATTATTATTATTATTATTTTTAAGAATAATAATAATTTCTGTGAAGATGAATACACAGTGTTAATATAATTTTATGTTGCAGGTGAAGAGAAACAAGGAGAAAATCTTCAGTGTGGGTTGGAAATTTCAAAACCTGTTAGTAACTCAGTTAAATATTTACAAAGTATTAACTTTTCACAGTTGATTTTAAGTGAAAAAGTAAAGATAAAAGAAAAAGGACGACATACACCAGTTTTATCAATTCTACAAAAAAGTACAAGCAGGAGCAAAGAATATACACGTCAGTTTTGTGTCAGTGTTTACCAGAAAAGTGAATGGCTTTGTGGGTGTGACAAAAAGAATGCTTTATTCTGTTTTCCATGTTTACTATTTGGTGGAGACTCTTCATGGACAAAAATTGGCGTGACTGACTTAAGGCATTTACCACAAAAAGTAATGAAACATGAGCAGTCATCCAAGCATATAAATAACGTTATTGATTTGTCAATGCTTGGTAAAGTGAACATTGCAGCTCAAATTGATTCAGCATACAAGATTTCAATAGCGAAACACAATGAAGAGGTTGAAAAAAACAGAAATGTATTGTCCAAAATTATAAACTGCATAAAATTCTGTGGCAAATTTGAGCTCCCTCTCAGAGGACATGATGAAACCTCAAGCTCCAAAAATCCAGGTGTATTTCGAGGCCTAGTTGATTTTGCCTGTAGTTTGGATTCTAGCTTAGATGCTCATATACATAATGCTGCAGTGTTTAAAGGAACATCAAAATCAATACATAATGAACTTTTAGAGTCTATGTTAGAAATTTGCAAAAACAAAATCAAGGAAGAAGTGAAGAATGCTGAATACTTGGCAGTTATGTGTGATGAAACAATGGATAGTTATGACAAAACACAAATGGTGATTGTTCTAAGGTACGAGCTAACAAGGCAAATGTTTAGAGATTTTTTGGGGAATTTTTAGCGTAACCAATCAAACAGCAGAAGTATTGTCAAGTGTTTTGTTAAAAGAGCTGCAGATTTTAATTGGTGATCTTCCACATAAGCTCATTGCTCAAACTTACGATGGTTGCAGCTGTGTTAAGTGGTGTCAACAAAGGTGTGCAAAATAAAGTAAGAGAAGTGTATACCAATGCTCACTTTATACACTGTTATGGGGCACCAACTGAACTTTATTCTTCAGCAGGTGACATCGCAGAATACTAATGTTCGAATATTTTTTAACAGCTTGTCAGGAATACCAGCATTTTTTTCAAAATCTCCGCAAAGAATGGCAGCATTGGAGAATACTGCGGGCAGTCGAATTCCAAGGCCTTCTGCAACACGTTGGAATTTCAAGAGCAGAACAGTTAATGCTGTGCAGGAGATGAAAGATGCACTGATTGAGTGTTGCACTATTCTAGAAGCATCTAACTCAAGAGATACTGGATCTGCAGCAGCGGGTATCAAGAGGATCCTGAGTGATCCTGAATTCGAGTTTTGGTTGGAATTTTTTTCCAAAGTGATGCATCACGTTGACATCATGTTTTCTCAGCTTCAGTCTAGAAATATTAATGCAGTTGAGACTAATGCCTCTTTAACAGCTTTTGCCTCTTCAGTTCAGAAATTAAGAGATGAATGTGATGCTTCCACAATGCCTTCTGAACCAAAGAGAAGAAAATTTAATACAAATAAAGCAGTTGCTGCAAAAGAGGTTTGTGACGTAATTTTATTGCAATGTAGAATGAGATTCAGTTTCACGAATCATTTGGAAGCTAGCCAGTTACTACTAGCGAGTAATTTTTCAACATATACTGAAAACTTCCCTAGTGATGCACTTGAGCATGCAGTTGCAGCCTATCCCATGCTCAAAAAAGATAAATTGAGAACTGAACTCTCTGTACTGTATTCAAGAGTAGATTTTTGCAAATCAGAAAAACTTATTGCCTTGCTAGAGATGATAAATGACAATCATCTGCAGTCAACATTTTCAGAAACTGTCAAGCTGTTAAAAATTTTAATAACAACTCCAATGACAACAGCAGAAGCAGATAGATGTTTTTCAACCTTGAAAAGAATAAACAAATTTTTGTGCAGTACAATGGTGAATGAAAAATTAACTGCTCTAGCAATGATATCAATTGAAAACATGATGATAACAGAAATGAAAGATTTTAATGAAAAAGTTATAAACCATTTTGCGACGTCAAAAAATCGACACTCGGATTTTGTTTTCAAATAGTTGTAACATCATCAGGTTAGCTAGCCACGTCTCCACCAGCAGGACTGTGACAACATTTACGGGTATGTATCTGTGAATGCTTATCATTATTAAATTTAGTTTAATTTTAAAAATTATTAGTTTAATAACGTTTATTATGCTGTTCTACGAGGCTTGCAGTCACACGGTCCCCCATTCTATTTTTTGACGAGCCGCTACTGCCTGTTACACTGAAGGTAAAAAAGACAGCTGTGGATACTGCTACTACTGCCATCACTGTTTGGACTGGCTTACACCACAACAATGTTAATATTAATAGTGACGGTGCTAATGACAGAGTGGAAGTCAAGGAGGAGAAAGATGATCATTATTCTTGAGTGTTTCAATATGGTGATTTTGCAAGTGAACGTAGATACAGGTCCTCCATCACAAGTCTGGCATCATTGGGACCTGTAGTGTGCCGGATTACTGAGTTTGCTGAATTACAGAGTGGTTAAGTTAGAATGCACTTAATAAAATTAACCAACTTGACTTACACAGTTCATTGAACATCGGCAAAAATCGAACATTTCCGCTACTTTGAGTTCAATTTCAAGGTACTTTTCGTCATGAAAGCAATCAAAATCATGTCTATTTCTGTAATATATCTTCCATTATATCAAATGAGTCCAAAAAATGAGAATACAACCATAAAAACCATACAAAAATATACTGCAAAGAGGCGGCTAACGGCTGAGAAGTGAACTCCCTTATTTATCGTCCATCATTTTTATTTTTGTTGTACATTAAGAAGCATCTTTCCATCATACATTGCCCAAGTTTCAATGAGGTAGCCCAACAAACAACCGAGAAAAAAATTATTTATTATTATCACACTGGCCGATTCCCACCATGGCAGGGTGGCCCGAAAAAGAAAAACTTCCAAACTACAAATTCTCTGCATTATATTCACACCACACATTGCCCTCAGACATGACATCTCCACTGCCTCCAGCCTTCTCCTCGCTGCAACATTCATCACCCATGCTTCACACCCATATAAGAGCGTTGGTAAAACTATACTCTCATACATTCCCCTCTTTGCCTCCAAGGACAAAGTTCTTTGTCTCCACAGATTCCTAAGTGCACCACTCACTCTTTTCCCCTCATCATTCTATGATTCACCTCATCTTTCATTTGACCATCCGCTGACACGTCCACTCCCAAATATCTGAAACATTTACCCCCTCCATACTCTCTCCTCCAATCTGATATTCAATCTTTCATCATCTAGTCTTTTTGTTATCCTCATAACCTTATCTTCCCTGTATTCACCTTTAATTTCTTCTTTTGCACCCCCCTACCAAATTCATCCACCCAAACTCTGCAAACTTCTCTTCAGATCTCCCCAAGAGCACAGTGTCATCAGCAAAGAGCAGCTGTGACAACTCCCACTTTGTGTGTGATTCTTTATCTTTTAACTCCACACCTCTTGCCAAGACCCTCGCATTTACTTCTCTTACAACCCCATCTATAAATATATTAAACAACCACGGTGAATCACACATCCTTGTCTAAGGCCTACTTTTACTGGGAAATAATTTCCCTCTTTCCTACATACTCTAACTTGAGCCTCACTATCCTCGTAAAAACTCTTCACTGCTTTCAGTAACCTACTCCTACACCATACACTTGCAACATCTGCCACATTGCCCCCCTATCCACCCTGTCATACGCCTTTTCCAAATCCATAAATGCCACAAAGACCTCTTTAGCCTTATCTAAATACTGTTCACTTATATGTTTCACTGTAAACACCTGGTCCACACACCCCCTACCTTTCCTAAAGCCTCCTTGTTCATCTGCTATCCTATTCTCCGTCTTACTCTTAATTCTTTCAATAATAACTCTACCATACACTTTACCAGGTATACTCAGCAGACTTATCCCCCTATAATTTTTTTATACAAAGGAACTATGCATGCTCTCTGCCAATCCCTAGGTACCTTACCCTCTTCCATACATTTATTAAATAATTGCACCAACCACTCCAAAACTATATCCCCAAAAATCATATATGGCAAGCCCAAGCCAAGTACTGGAAATAAGTCACTTTGTCTGACTTTTTTGGGTTATCCTAGGTTCTCTATACATACACTGCTATGTATGATAATCTATGTAACTGTATTTGTGTATACCTGAATAAACTTATTTACTTCTAGTCTGTCAACTGAGTACAAGAAACCGCCCATTCACTTATTTCAACTACCCAATAAAGTGGTCAGAAATTGGCAATTTGGCCAATTTCACACAAATTTCAACAGATGCAAATTTCAAAATAGGATCCAGAATAAACAATGTAGACATTCCTGGCACTAAAATAACATTTTCTCTGTTCATTAGTCACGGCTACAGGCCCCTCTTATATTACTCTTGCTTACCATTTGGAATTTTTATTCACAAAAAAAAAAAAATAAAAGATTTACTGTTATGCAGACTACTGCATTATTGTAATAATTGTATAAATAATGTCAATCCATTCTTGACTCCATACTGGAATTTGGACTGGCAGGCGGACAGGTATTGGACGGTGACGTCATTTGTTTACTCTTGAGCTTCGCTAAAGAATAGAACATTTTCGCTACTGTGAGCGCAATTTCAAGGTACTTTTCGTCATGAAAGCAATTAAAATCATATCTATTTCTGTAATATATCTTTCATTCTATCAAATGAGACCGAAAAAAATGAGAATATAACCATAACAACCATACAAAAATATACCGCTAAGCGGCCGCTAATGGCTGAGAAGTGAACTCTGCTATTTATGGTCTGATTTCTTTCATTTTTGGTGTACGTGAAAAAGTATCTTTCCATCATACATTGCCCAAGTTTGAATAAGATAACCCAACAAACAACTGAGAAAATAATAATAATAATAATATAATAATAATATTTTTTTTTATTTATTTATTATCACACTGGCCGATTCCCACCAAGGCAGGGTGGCCCGAAAAAGAAAAACTTTCACCATCATTCACTCCATCACTGTCTTGCCAGAAGGGTGCTTTACACTACAGTTTTTAAACTGTTGTTAGGTAAGACACATATGCAACAGTTAGGTATCTTTATTATGAAACGTTTCGCCTACACAGTAGGCTTCTTCAGTCACTTTAAGGGTGATGGACTGATTACATCGTCTTCAAGTATCTTCTGCTTCTATGAACTTTTCTGTACTTGACTGAAGAAGCCTACTGTGTAGGCGAAACGTTTCATAATAAAGATACCTAACTGTTGCATATGTGTCTTACCTAAAAACCTGTCGGTATTTTATACCATTTTAATGTTCAGTTTTTAAACTGCAACATTAACACCCGTCCTTCAGAGTGCAGGCACTGTACTTCCCATCTCCAGGACTCAAGTCCGGCCTGCCGGTTTCCCTGAACCCCTTCATAAATGTTACTTTGCTCACACTCCAACAGCACGTCAAGTATTAAAAACCATTTGTCTCCATTCACTCCTATCAAACACGCTCACGCATGCCTGCTGGAAGTCCAAGCCCCTCGCACACAAAACCTCCTTTACCCTCTCTCTCCAACCTTTCCTAGGCCGACCCCTACCCCGCCTTCCTTCCACTACAGACTGATACACTCTTGAAGTCATTCTGTTTCGCTCCATTCTCTCTACATGTCCGAACCACCTCAACAACCCTTCCTCAGCCCTCTGGACAACAGTTTTGGTAATCCCGCACCTCCTCCTAACTTCCAAACTACGAATTCTCTGCATTATATTCACACCACACATTGCCCTCAGACATGACATCTCCACTGCCTCCAGCCTTCTCCTCTCTGCAACATTCATCACCCATGCTTCACACCCATATAAGAGCGTTGGTAAAACTATACTCTCATACATTCCCCTCTTTGCCTCCAAGGACAAAGTTCTTTGTCTCCACAGATTCCTAAGTGCACCACTCACTCTTTTCCCCTCATCAATTCTATGATTCACCTCATCTTTCATAGACCCATCCGCTGACACGTCCACTCCCAAATATCTGAATACATTCACCTCCTCCATACTCTCTCCCTCCAATCTGATATTCAATCTTTCATCACCTAATCTTTTTGTTATCCTCATAACCTTACTCTTTCCTGTATTCACCTTTAATTTTCTTCTTTTGCACACCCTACCAAATTCATCCACCAATCTCTGCAACTTCTCTTCAGAATCTTCCAAGAGCACAGTGTCATCAGCAAAGAGCAGCTGTGACAACTCCCACTTTGTGTGTGATTCTTTATCTTTTAACTCTTTAATAATAGTAATATCTTTATTTACTACACGTACATGTACAAGGTATACAGGCCTAGCTGACATCAGTAAGTAAGTAAGTTTATTCAGGTATACACAAATACAGTTACATAGAATTATCATACATAGCAGCATATATGTAGAGAACCTAGGATAACCCAAAAAAGTCAGACAGAGTGACTTATTTCCATTGTGGTCCTTTTACCTTATTATTATAATATAAATGTTATAATATTTTCTTATTATTCTATAATGAAGATAACATCTTATTATCATACTAAAAAGACTATCTACTACACGAGGGTCATTAAGACTATCTACAATACAAGGGTCACTATCTACAATACGAGGGTCACTATCTACGAGTGACATACTACTGTATAGAAAGGCACTTGTTATGCTGAGTATTTCAAGAAAATTAGGTCAGTGTCCCAGGATAACACCCACACCAGTCGGCTAACACCCAGGTACCCATTTACTGATGGGTAAACATAGACAACAGGTGTAAAGAAACATGCCTAATGTTTTCTACCCTGGCTGGGAATTGAATACAGTGGACCCCCGGCTTACGATATTATTTCATTCCAGAAGTATGTTCAGGTGCCATTACTGAACGAATTTGTTCCCATAAGGAATATTGTGAATTAGATTAGTCCATTTTCAGACCTCAAACATGCACGTACAAACGCACTCACATAAATACACTTACATAATTGGTCGCATTGGGAGCTGATCATAAAGCGGGGGTCCACTGTATTTACCAAAAATCATATATGGCTAATCCAAGCCAGGTATTAAAAATAAGGCACGTTGACTTTTTTGGCATTATCCTAGGTTCTCTACACATATGCTGCTATGTGTGATAATCTATAGAGAGAAAATAACTTTTTTGTTTCATGTTTATGGTGGAGTACGAGTGTATATCATAGTTAGCCCTGTGCTATACTCCGTTTTCTCTAATATAAGCCACCAAGACAAGGATAGGAGAATGTTATTTGTTTACCATATCCTCTTCATAACTCTGTCGAACTGCTCGGTATTATGCCAAATATTATTCATTCTGGAGTATTTAACGTGTTTTATGTTATTTATATTGTTTCTTATGTCATATTAGATCAATTGTGATAGGCAAATAAGCTGTAGTGTTGATATTAGCATAATAATAAAGCATATTCTCATGCTTCATAAGACTGAGCTCATGGCAACCGACAGTGGCTTCAAAGCCACCTTATCTTTAGTGGATAATGTACTGTGTAGGTGCTTTACATAATGCGAAGCATTTCTTTTATTCATTGGAACCATGACTAGGGCCAAAAGTAAGCAGGTTAAAACAATAAATGGAGAAAAAGAAATTGGAATGACTTATGCAGCAAGTAGCACCACCAAACAGTACCAGCAGGTTGGTGTGGCGACCCTGGAAATTTGAAATTATGCTAGCCAAAATTAGTGCCGAATAACTGAAGGAACCGAATAACTGATTGCCGGATTTGTGATGGCGGACCTGTATAAGCTTCTTAGTTTTCATTAGTTTTTAATGGGTCTGACAGAATCTTTAAATTATCTTTGATACTTGTTGAAACTCAGTAGTAGTAGTAGTAGTAGTAATAGTAATAGTAGTAGTAATAATATTAATAGTAGTAGTAGTAATAATAGTAATAGCAATAATAATAGTAGTAATAACAGTAGTAGTAATAATAGTAGTAGTAGAAGTAGTAGCAGCAGTAGTAATAATAGTAATAATAGTAGTAATGGTTGTAGTAATAGTAGTAGTAATAATAACAGAAGTGAGAGATTGACCCAAGACTTGTAAGAGTGGACTACACAGTATGATAAGTTATGAACACAGTGGACTACACAGTATGGTTAAGTTATGAACACAGTGGAGTACTCAGTATGGTAAGTTATGAACACAGTGGACTACACAGTATGGTAAGTTATGAACACAGTCACCTGTTATCCCTAGAGAAGGTACATAAATTTTTTTCTCACACAGCATCAAGTATACAGTACACACAGTTTAATGTAACATCTTTTAAAGGTTGTGATAAAAACATACTTAAAAATAACAATATTTATTCATAAAAATATTCTTAGTCATAAGTATGATACATTGGTATTCATTGGTAATGTTTTTAAATGGCTCATATTGTACTTAATAGGCAAGTCTTGATGTGTACCAGATGTCTGGAGAGGAAACTTGAAATAATAGTTTGAACCTTGGTAATTGATACAACAGATTGGTTTAAATAATGTGAGCAAACACCAGGACATATATACAGCCTCCCCTCACTTAACAACTGAGTTCCATTACTGAGAGTAGGTCGGTAAGTGAATTTATTTATTTATTTATTTATTTATTTATTTTATGTCTTTGCAAACAGTACATTGAGATTTTGTATTTACAATAGTGGGTTGCAATGCAAAGAGAGCCTCTATTATGCCTAGGCATTATGGGCCAGCTTAACATTATTGGCTTACAGACTACTTAATACTAAGGAGTATATCATAGTTGTACAGTAGGATAGTAATTATTTCATAGTTGTACAGTAGATTATTAATTATAAATGAATCAAAATTTGTATAATACAAAGATATATTTATATTCGAAAAAGCTTTTTGTGTAAACAATGATTCAATTATATTCTGTCAACAATGGATAAAAGGTTCAATGTGATTTTTGAAGTTATGATGTGGGAGTACATAGGTGAGTAAGTGTGTACAGAGTATTTAGCATTTAGTCTAGGGTGGTTAAGTGGCTTTTGAGAAGAGTCTTAAATTGATTTTCAGACTGGGTTACTTTAATATCTTCTGGTAATGAATTCCATATTTTGGGGCCCTTTATGTACATAGAGTTTTTACACAGTGTGATATGACAACGAGGTATATCAGAAAGAGATCTGTGTCTTGTGTTGTGGTCATGTGTCTGTTTAGGCTGGTGAGAAGTTTGAGTGGAGGGTTTATTTTTGCGTGTATTGTTCTGTGTATGTAGTAGGCACATGAATAAGTATGGATGTTCTTAATGGTGAGCAGATTCAGACTTTTGAAAGTTGGTGGAGTATGCTGGCGGGAGTGGGAATTTGTTATCATTCTTACTGCTGCCTTTTGCTGGGTTATTAGGGGTTTTTAGGTGATTGGATGCTGTTGATCCCCATGCACAAATTCCATATGTAAGATAAAGGTATATGAGTGAATGGTACAATGCCAGGAGAGCTGATTGTGGAATGTAGTACCTTATCTTTGATAGTATGCCTACAGTCTTGGAGATATTCTTCGTGATTTGTTGTATGTGTGTCCGGAACTTAAGGCTACTGTCAAGGTGGATACCTAGGAATTTTCCCTCTGTGAGTCTTGTGCCTGATGATCCATTTAGAACATAAGAACATAAGAACGAAGGAACACTGCAGCAGGCCTACTGGCCCATGCGAGGCAGGTCAAGTCTCCTACGGCTTAAGCCAATGCACCCAACCTAGTCAGGTCAGGTCACCTTGACTTAAGGGAGGAACACGGCAACCGTCCTGGTAGCACAAGCTAATCAGGTCCAACTCACACCCACCCACATCCACTCATGTATTTATCCAACCTATTTTTAAAGCTACACAACGTTCTGGCCTCTATAACTGTACTTGGGAGTTTGTTCCACTCATCCACAACTCTATTACCAAAACAGTACTTTCCTATATCCTTCCTGAATCTGAATTTTTCTAACTTAAAACCATTGCTGCGAGTCTGTCTAGGCTAGATATTTTCAGCACACTATTTACATCCCCTTTATTTATTCCTGTCTTCCATTTATACACCTCAATCATATCCCCCCTAATTCTACGTCTTTCTAGATTCAGGGCCCTTAGTCTATCCTCATAGGGAAGGTTTCTGATACATGGGATCAACTTTGTCATCCTCCTTTGTACATTTTCAGAGCATTTATATCCATTCTGTAATACGGTGACCAAAACTGTGCAGCATAATCTAAATGAGGCCTAACCAAGGATGTATAGACTTGAAGAACAACCTGAGGACTCCTATTATTTATGCTTCTTGATATGAAGCCAAGGATTCTATTAGCTTTATTGCGAACACTTATGCACTGTTGTCTTGGTTTCAGATTACTGCTAACCAGAACTCCTAAATCTTTTTCGCAATCCGTAATATTAAGATCTACATTATTTAGTTTATATGTGGCATGGTTATTGTCCTGTCCAACATTTAGAACTTTGCATTTGTCTATATTAAACTGCATCTGCACACCTTCTCCGACCACTGCATCAGTCTATTCAAATCTTCCTGGAGTGCTCTAATGTCCTCGTCAGAATGAATTCGACGGCCTATTTTGGTGTCATCGGCAAACTTGCTGATGTCGCTCTTTATGCCCTCATCTATGTCGTTTATGTATATTGTGAACAGCAGGGGGCCCAACACTGGCCCCTCTGGAACACCGCTCGTGACGCTTCCCCACTCTGATTTCTCCCCATTTATGCAAACTCTCTGTTGCCTATTTGTCAACCATGCCTCTATCCAGGAAAAAATTTCTCCTCCTATTCCATGTGCCTTAATTTTCCTCAATAGTCTCTGATGTGGGACCCTGTCAAAAGCCTTACTGAAGTCCATATACACAATATCATATTCATTACCATGATCTACCTCCTCAAATACCTTAGTGAAAAAAAAATTAATATGATTAATTTATGCTTTTCAAGGTGGCTACGAACTGCCTGGCAATTATTGATTCCATAAATTTTCCACTATGGAGGTTAGGCTTATTGGTCTATAGTTCGAAGCTAAGGACCTGTCACCTGCTTTGAAAATAGGTATCACATTTGCCATTTTCCACTTATCTGGCACCATGCCAGTTTGTAGTGATATGTTGAAAAGATTAGCCAAAGGTTTGCTAAGCTCCTCTTTACATTCCTTTAGAACCCTTGCATACAGTTCATCAGGGCCTGGGGATTTGTTAGGTTTTAATTTATCTATTTGCCTAAGGACCATGTCACTTGTGACCCTAATCGTGCACAGTTTATTATCGTCCTGTTCCACATAATTTATCATTTCTGGAATATCGCTGGTATCCTCCTGTGTAAAAACTGAGAGAAAGTACAGGAAGGCCCCGCTTTACGGCGTTTCACTTTACGGCGTTCCGCTAATACGGACATTTCAAATTATGACCAAAACTCACTATACGGCTCCCCCACCTGACTTTCTAATACGGTCACCGTGCCCACCCTGTTTGTTTACATTCTCCATGAGCTCAGTAAGCACTAAGTCTCTCCATTTTGTCTGGAAACTCCAAAATTTCAAATGTTTTTAAAAGTTATTTCATATTTTATATATACTCTGATAATTATACTTATGTATACCTGTACCTAAATAAACTTACATACATCGAGTCATTTAAATGTCGTATATTACGTTAATATACACATTTTCATTAATCCATCCATGATATTTTTTTCAAAAATTATATAATAAACACGATGCATAACATATAATAAGATAAATACACCCCACAGTAGAATAAATAAACATAAATGTGAGTATGTGAGCAGACGACTTCCACAAGTGACGCCATAATAACAATACTCACCGAGTTCATTAAATGTCGATATTACGGTAATATACACATTTTCATTAATCATCCATGATATTTTTTTCAAAATTATATAATAAACACGATGCATAACATATAAATAAGATAAATACACCCCACAGTAGAATAAATAAACATAAATGTGAGATGTGAGCAGACGACTTCCACAAGTGACGCCATAATAACAATAGTCACCGAGTCTCATTAAATGTCGTATATTACGGTAATATACACATTTTCATTAATCCATCCATGATATTTTTTTCAAAATTATATAATAAACACGATGCATAACATATAAATAAGATAAATACACCCACAGTAGAATAAATAAACATAAATGTGAGCTGTGGTAGCAGACGACTTCCACAAGTGGTGATAATAACAATAGTCACCGAGTCTCATTAAAATGTCGTATATTACGGTAATATACACATTTTCATTAATCCATCCATGATATTTTTTCAAAATTATATAATAAACACGATGAATAACATATAAATAAGATAAATACACCCACAGTAGAATAAATAAACATAAATGTGAGCTTGTGGTAGCAGACGACTTCCACAAGTGGTGATAATAACAATAGTCACCAGTCTCATTAAATGTCATATATTACGGTAATATACACATTTTCATTAATCCAGCCATGATATTTTTTTCAAAATTATATAATAAACACGATACATAACATAAAAAGATGATAAATACACCCCACAATAGAATAAATAAACATAAATATAAGATGTGGGAGCCTGGTTTGTTTACTCTGTGCCTAGCCTGTCACCTCTCATGTACTCATTCTTTCTCTCTCCCATTTATTCGTTTTATCTCATTTACTTACTCCTGACCCTACATTAAGACTACAAATATAAATATTTTAAGGTAAGTAATGAGTGCACTATGTGTGTATTGTACCTTTTTATTGTTTTTTGATGCCTGGTTCTATTGCTAACTTAATATATGTTAGTGTAAACTTGTTATCTAGTGTTTGTATGCATTTATAAGTGGAAAAAAAGGGTGTTCCACTTTACGGCGATTTCCGCTTTACGGCGGTAGCCTGGAACCTAACCTGCCGTATAAGTGGGGCCCTCCTGTATGTGTTAAAACTTCTACACATTTCCTTATCACTGTCAGTGAGCTGACCCGAGGAACTTATGAGTGGGCCTATCTTGTCCCTGATCTTACTTCTGTATACCTGAAAGAATCCTTTTGGGTTAGTCTTCGAATCTCTTGCAACTTTAACCTCATAATCTCTTTTTGCTTTTCTAATTCCTTTTTTTATTTCTCTCTTTAACTGAATATATCGATTTCTTAATTGCCCCTCCTCTCTTTTGATTTGCCTATATATGCCTCTCTTTTGACCAATTAGATATTTTAATCTATTGTTCATCCATTTAGGATCATTTTTGTTTGATCTGATTTCCTATTTGGAACATAATTTGACTGAGCAGCTAGAACTATGCCCTGGAAAGCGTCATATCGGCAACCATCACCACCTACCTGACCTTAGTCAGGTCATTCCAGTTCAGCCCACCTAAGTAATTTTCAGTCCTATGAAATCAGCCAAGTGGAAGTCAGGGACAGAGACTTGATTGCCATTATTAGGGGAATTCCATGATACATGTATATTAAAACTGAGTGATTTGTGATCACTTTCCCCAAGCTCATCATTAACCTCAAGATTATTAATTAGTGTTTCCCTACTGG